TATAATGCTTGATTGGCTGAAGTTAAGAGTGCACATTCAGTTATTTAAGAAGCTGTTCCATTTTACAAAGATAAGCTGATTGGGTGGAATCATATGTGTGTGTGTGTGTGTGTGTGTGTGTGTGTGTATCCACTTAACCATATTTTGGGAACAACTTTGTACCCAAAAGTGAGCAGAACCTGACAAAATTGGCAAAAACCTCAATTTGTGGATGTCCTCATTTGTAAAACTGTTATAAAAATAAACAAAGTTTTTTTTTACTTTTGAAATTGTAAAAATGCAGAAAGTTTTCTGTGAGGGGTAGGGTTAGGGTTAGGGGTGGGTTTAGGTTAAAAAGTGTATAAGTATCTGTATATAAAAACAATTGAAGTCTATGTAATGTCCCCATTTAGATAGCTAATTAAATGTGTGTGTGTGTGTGTGTGTGTGTGTGTGTGTGTGTGTAAAATAGTATATCAGTCTGGCGAGTAAACTAAAAATTTTACTAGCCAGTGGCGATTATATTGCCAAGGTGTGCGTAGAGAGTTGCTAATGTTTAGTGAAGCTACCAAAACGCGGCCCAAAAGCCGCATGTGTATATTGTTTACATGTACTTGATATTGTTTGGTCTACATGAAACAATTATGCTTTTAAACAATATGTGACACAAGACTATCTGTTGTGCAGGAAGCTTAATGGATCACATTTTCAAGTAAAGTCACATTATTATTTAAAATTAGGCATACATTTTTGGTTCGTATTTTTGACTATTTTCTCTTTCAGCCAAAAACCAACAGTTGAAATTTGTATCCCTATTTTTACCTTATGGAAAATAATGCACTTTAGTTTGAGAGTAGGCACTCAAACTAATTTCACCACGGTCCAATCACTTTACAATTTCTGGCCTCGCCACTGAATTGCAGTTTAGTACATCAGTCAGATTAATTGAGAAACTGTTCCAAATGATGTATAATTGTTAGTGATTCGCTAAAACAAAACAGCTCATAAGAGTAATTCGCTCAAAAATCATACTTCACTGGCCGCACTGTATGTTTCACGCTGAGAACCTTAAACAGAACCGAACATAGTGAAAATCTTGGTTCTCAAGTTCTGAGGAAAAGAAAGCAATGTTTTACTCTTCAGATAAAATGCTGACATAACCTGGCTTTGAATACTATCTGAAAGTGGTACATTAAGTTCTGCAAGGTTTCTCCCAGCTCTAAATGAATAAGTTAAATAAATCCTGCCACAAGTGTATATTCACTGTCCATATAATCGATAACTGGAACTGATCTTCTTTATTACTGCAAAGCTCATATTATCAAAATGATACACTAGCTTGTTGTTACTAAAGCACAAACCCAAATCTAAAAACCGTACAAATCCACTATTGTAGGCGCTCAATAGGTTTGTAAGCTGTGTGTGGGGGATTTACTCTTCGGGCATTTTCATTCCATTTTATAATGATACAGCTCCATATTGGAGCAAATGATTTAAGAGGATTTATCTTAGATAACACTGAGATCGTTGTGTGATGGCGAGAGAGAGAGAGAGAGAGAGAGAGAGAGAGAGAGAGAGAGGGAGAGAGAGAGAGAGAGAGAGAGAGAGAGAGAGAGAGAGAGAGAGAGAGTGTGTGTGTGTGTGTGTGATGAAGTCACTGATGTGTTGACAGCTTAACTTGTTGAGAGTGCAGAGCTTTCAAGCACAACCCGAGCTGCAAAGTATCAATGAAGATCACAGCGGGAAAATAAGTGGTTTAAATAGAATGTTCTGAGAGAGAAATCTGCAAGCAGACAGTTTGTCTTCATTTACACCACCAAGGTTTTCTAAGGAAAGTGAATACACTCTTTTCTCTTTGAAGAGTTTCTCTTTGTTGGAGAAAAAAATAAATAAAAAGTTTTTTCTTATGTAATAAATGGTATTTAATGAGACTTATAATTAAGACTTAAAATAACTAAATTAACATCAAATTACCGAATGCATTTCAGACTTTAATTTATTTGATTACATCAAATACATTTTCCTTAACCAGAACGAAAACATTTAGTACACACAATATTTGAACCACAAATGTGCATTAAGAAAATAGTTCACCCAAACATCCAAATTTCCAGCAAATTTTCTCACCATCAGGCAATCCAATATGTAGATGACTTTGTATCTTCATCTGAACAGATTTGGAGAATTTTAGCATTACATCACTTGCTCACCAAAGAATCCTCTGTAGTGAATGGGTACCATCAGAATGAGATTCCAAACATCACAGTAATCCACAAGTAATTCACACCACTCCAGTCCATCAATGAACATCTTGAGAAGTAAAAAGTTGCGTGTTTATGAGTCCATAATAAATAATAACGCTTCATCCAGGGAAAAAGTCTGTCCTCTTTTGTTATCTCTCACATCAAAATCCACCAACATATTTGTTTAGAATGGTTTTGGACTGTTTTTGCTTGTAAACAGTATTGATCTGTGCATATTTCTCTCCCGATTCAGCAAGATTACTTTTTCAATGGAGAAAGAAATATTATGGACCAGGGACTTGTATTTGAATGTTAAATGTCTTAATGAAGAATGTGTCTTACAAACACACAGCATTTCACTTCACAAGACATCAATTGATAGACTGGAGTTTGTGTGGATTGCTTTTGGATTATTATGATATTTTTATCAGCTGTTTGGACTGTCATTCTGACGGCACCCATTCACTGCAGAGGATCCATTGGTGAGCAAGTGATGTGATGATCAATGTCTCCAAATCTGCTACTATGAATAAACAAACTCATCTGCATCTTTGTTGGCCTGAGGGTGAGTACATTTTCAGCTAATTTGCATTATACTATTCCTTTAAATGTTTTAAAATGAAATGTTTTGAAGAATTCAATTTCATTTTTATTGTTTTTGCACATCTTGAAAATAAGCTTAAAGAAAAAAATGTAAGCAGTAAGCACTTCAGTATACAACAGATGTGGAGCTTTCAGCACATCTGTCTGTTTCTTCCACAGATATATGGCCATCATTCATCCCCTGCAGCAGAGGATGTCTGCAACTCAGACGAAGGTGGTCATCGGGGTCATCTGGATGCTGGCTCTTCTACTGGCCTTCCCCCAATACTACTTTTCCGACACAGACCAGCTGCCCGGCAGGGTGGTCTGTTACATCGATTGGCCTGAGTACACTGTTCTCGACTTCAAAACGATGTAAACATCTCACTTTTAACTAATCTGCATGCTTATTGCCCCATGCCACCAATTGCTGATATTGGAAAATGTTTAGGTTGAATATTTGCTTCAGAAATGTATTTAAATGTAGATTTACGGCTGTAGGTGCAGAGAATTCCTTTTCCAGATCAAATTTCACCAACGTTTCCGGATATTGCTGGAAACATTACCTTTATTACTGTCTAATTTTGGAGTAATCAAAAATCAGCGCTGCTTTTTCCCTACATGTTTGCTTATTAACAACAGAGAGGAGCTTCATTACAAAGAAAACAGTAAACACAGGAAAGTCATGGTCCTAAGAGAGAGAAGACAAGAGTGCAAGACTATTAAAGCAAACATAATTGGAAATCTCGCCCAAGGGTAAATACAATGACTTTACAAGAGCAGACGCTAATGATTATTACTCTTCCGTACTGTGGTTATATACTCTCAAAAAGTTGGCTTGTATGCAGATCGACTTTAAACTGAAGTGCTGAGGTCTAATGTCAAGTGCTGTGAAAATGGTGCACAAAGACATCGAACACCGAGCCCATTAGAAGCCGAGATCAATCTGCAAAGAATTTTCATGGGCGGTACTTTGTTTTGAAACACGGTGAGGACAGCTGTGGGGGAGGGGTGCACAGATGTGCCAGTTGTGATGTCACAAAACCGCTTAACTCGTGAAATCCGATTTTGCACAAATAACTTGGCTAAACAGTGAACTGTTTCCATTAATAGTGTATGTGATGCACTCCGGATATCAGGTATCTTATTGTGCAGCATTTGCTCCTTTGCTAGTTGAAATCACAAATGTAAATCTTTCAAATTGGAAATTTCCAAAAACTATTTTGACTTCTTATCGAAATAGAAACATGTGTCTGAGAACTGTGTGCTGGAGAGAGCATTGCTGCTGTCGCTTATTAATAAACAACTACAGTGAGCACTTAGCAAAACAATAACAAATTCCAGTGCTGTAATATTACTTATTAACACACTTAACCTAAATCAAAACTTCTGCTCAACAAGATTCTTCTTCTTTATTACATATATCACTGCTGTTATATAGTTACATTCTGTTTCGTACAGCTTTCTGGTGTACTTATTATTTTATTTTCTGTCTGTCTTTAATGCTGTGAGTTAGAAGTGCGAGTCCTTCTCTGTTAGTTAGTTAGTAAAGGAGACAGCCTTCTAAGGCCCCTGAGATGTTCCCTTAAGCACCCCACCGTCTCTCTCTTACTCACTAAATCTCATTTCACATTTACCCCAAAGTCCCCTCTTCCATTACCGTGTCTTTCACACCACAGTTGAGCTGTGATATAAAACCTTTTTACTGGTGTTCCTACCAGGGGGTATGGAAGCTAACACATACATTTTCTACTGAACAATACATTTCTTTATAATTCACACTTTTCTACAAGAAACATTAATTAATTCATCTTAATCTCTATCGTTGTCTCATTTTACACTAAAAGTATCCTTAAGATAATACAAATTTACTTGAGAAGCAATAAGGTCAGACGTTTACACCTGGCATAAGTATAAACACTCATTTGTCCCAAATGTGCCTCAGATCGCAGGGAAGCCTATTCGCAACCACTCGCCCATCACACAAGCGATTCATTCTTCGCTATGATGTGTGAAAACACATGGGTTATGGTCTATCTGGGCATTTTAAAATTTTAGTATTGAGATAACAGTTAGGATCATGAATTTCAGTTGTACTACAGTGCACCGTGAGTGTATATTAGCATCATTTGTTGCTTTCTTTTGGGATCCGATATAGAGCCTTTGGACGCGGAAACAGTGGAGCGTGAATCAGACGGTATTTGTGCACAGCTCTCGGTGCTCTGCAAAAGTGATGTATTGTAGAGTGTGCTGAAATATGAGGAGAGTGTCTCGACAAAATTCAAGCACAAGTACTCATATTTGGAATGCGTGTTAATACCTGGTGGAAGCATTAATGTGTCTCGACTGACCACTTGTGGTCGGATCACTGAAAACCCATCTTAAAACCAGATGTAAACATCATCTAGTATCTGTTTTCAGGGAATATATGTTGTAGTAAGTTTATTTTTCTTACCTCATCTCATCTTTGTCAGATTTACGCATTAACAAAAAAAAACTTTTGCCATTGGGGTAAAAAACATTTAATAGCTTATATTCATTTCACTTTGCAGAAAAAAAAGAAAAGAAAAGAAAGAGAATAGTGTTTTACAAGCTCCATTAAGCAAGATGAGGGCAACACTGGTCAGGAAGACTCCTCAGAGATGTTAAAGTAAATGTGGAAAAAAAACTTTTCTGGGTGGAAATAGAACTCATCTAGCCTACCTCCTCAGGCTGACAAACTGGAATCTTTAAATTATTATTAATCATTTATGAACATTTGATATATAATTTGATATACTTACCCTTAATTAGAGCAAATAAGCATAAAATCATTAGTAGTAAATCTAATTGATGTGCCTTCTTCAGAAAATGTCTCCCTGTTTGCAGTGCACTGTACTCCAGTAACATCTAACAGCATCTCGATTCTGACAAACATGCAGGAAGTAAAAACTGAGCACAAGCATCTTTAGATCCACACGAGATTGGATGCGCTCAGCAGGAAACCAAACTGTCTTCAGCACTGTAAGCGGTGAGCTGTTCATCAACACCAGCTTAAAGATTAGACTCATAAAACGGCAGTCATCTTGTTTGTCATGAGACAATGAGATATTTTAGTTTAGCTCATCTCTAAATCTTCTTCAGAGCTTCACACTAATTTCACACACAGAAATAAACCCAGTCTGTGTGATACTCTTAGCACAGATTGTAAATAACAAATTCACTCAATGAAAGGAAAAATCCCCTTAAATGCTCTTTTGTAAATCCACTTTTGAGTGTCATTGTCATCCAGTCAGCAACGGACAGCATACATAACAATCACACCGTCCATGTCTGAATGGATGTAGCACTTAATATTTTTAATAATGAAGCTGTAATGACTTGTACAGATGGGTTAAGTGCGCCAAACCGAGATGAGACCTGTCTCGCGTTAACATAATAGATGAGTCTGATTAGCAATGACACCAGGTCTGTTTTATAGCACATGAACTGGGTTTGAAATGTTGCACAGCACACTGTCTAGCTCTTATTCATGGCTTTGCCGTGCTGGGTGTTATAATAGACTGGAGACACATGCCAGAGTATAAATAGTCCGGTGTGTTATGAAAGCTCACATGCGACATAAATGACATGAGCTCATGCTTATGCTCAAGTACTGAGAAATTACCTGTATTACCTGCACTTGAATAACATTCACACACGTTTACATATAGAATTTGGTTCTCAAATACACATTCAGACCTCCACATTGTTTAGAGAAATACTTTATAGTTATGTTTCATTTAAAGGGATAGTTCACCTAAAAATGAAAAATCTGTCTTTTACTCGCCCTCATGTCGGTCCAGATCCAAATCTGCATGATTTTCTTTCTTCAGTCCTACCCCACTGACCATAATTTGTGCAAAACACACAGAGACTTTTGTGTGTGTGTGTTCAATAGAATATTGAATAGAATAGAGTAGAATAGAATATTGACTAGATAATTCAATAAATTATCGCTTAAAGCAGAAGTCTCAATTTGATCTCACTGTTGTCCCTAGTGAAAAATAAATATACTAAAATATATTGAAATACATTTCTTTCATGCTAAGTACACTACAAATACATTTACATATTTATGTACTTAATAAAAATACCCTGCAATTGTATTTTTGGTATACTAAACTTGTATAGTCTGCTAAACAACTTGTACTTAATGCACTTTAATTGTGCAGAAGTAGTGATAAACTAAAGATATGCTTAAGTATTTGATTGTGTTAAAGTGGAACTATTGCAAGTATACTTTAGGTACACTTTGCATTTAAAGACTGATTATTCAAAGATCATTTATTCCTCATCAATAGTGGCATTAAAACACATTTTAGGCTTAATATTAAGAAATGTGCATTGTGCACAAGTAGTACTCCAAATAAAGTTTAATTATAATAAGTCTTGAGCAATATGTCAGTATATGTTAATAGATTTGAATTCGGAATTCGGCAAAGTGTCTGTTTATTACAGTGACAAAAGTTAACTCCAAGATATTATTTATATAAATTTACAAATTATATACACTTTGTAACCAAGCAAAAAGATTCACAAAATAAATGGGGAAAAGAGAGAAGAACGAGACCGTGCCAAATCAAAGAAATAAACAAAACATAACTAATCTTACTAAGAACAAAAACTTATAATCTAACTCAACCATCAATATTCACAAACAGACCCCTAAATAGAAAGAAAAATCTTCAGCATCAAGGACGCCCTAAATATACTACTCTTACTACCAACCAATTCAATACAATCAGGTGGCACGTGTCACTAACCTAGTGTTCTATACACAATTGAAAACTCAGTGTGGCACATTTATATCACGTGATATCTTACCTGTTGTTTTTCTCTTTCCCCGTTTAGTAACATTGGTTCAAAAACCATGTAACAGAAACGGTGAAAACCTCAAAGAGAAGAAAGATCGAATGGGCCATTGTTCACCAAGTTATCAAAGAACACAGACTTTACCACGAACAGTACTCAAACCTCAAGATGATACAGGACAAACAAACAAACAAACAAACAAGCACGCAAGTGCCATCACAACAAAACGAGTGCTCTAGCATGCAAGAGCCCTCTCGCTTCTCGCACAGGTGCAGTCTTTATAATCAAATAGCGCGCCCTCATTGGTGAAGCCGCGCGTTGTCGTCACTAAGCATCTTGATGATTGACAGAGAATTAGACCACTCAGGTACCCGTGTCTCCCTGCTGAAAATGAAAGTAAAAACAAAGAGAAAAAAAAGAGAGGGAAAAACAAACACCGTACCCAAAACACATCATAATTTTAACATGGGATGTAACAATACCACATTATCTTTCCTCAAAAAAATTCAGGAAAGCGTGACTACAAAAAGTGCAGAGATGCA